GCGACCGTGTGCGGTGCAGCGGACCGCGGACAGGCGCAGGCGGGCGGTCTTCAACACACGCGGAGCGGGTCTGGCGCCGCCCACAGCACGCTGCCAGCACACCACCTAGAAATAGGGGTTTACGGAGTGTTTGTTATGCACTGCGCCCTTGCCTGCGCGATTTCTTTTAATCCTCATAACCTCTCTGTTAATTACTGTGTGATATTGTTAGCATCTCCATTTCACAGACAAGAAATGAAGGCATTGAAAAGTTAACAAGAAACGGGATTGCTAAGGACTCGAATTCAGCTTCGTAGACCCCTGCATGCCGGTGCACACCTATGATCCCAGCACCCTGGGAGGCTGAGCCAGGATATTGACACTTTTGAGCCTAGCCTGGGCAACTTAACAAGACTCTGTCTCAAAATAAAAAAGGATGTAGCTCAATGTGAAGGTCCTGGGTTCAGTGTACAATATTAGAAGAAAAGAAAAAAAGTCACTTTTGTCTGGCTCCAGGGACTGCTTTAGCTCACTGCCTTCCTTAATAATAACGATGTCTGTTGCTCAGTGTCTTCTCCCCAAGCGAGGTGTCCTGTGTGAGAGCAGTGGGGGGCTCCTCCCCCGGGCCCGGTGCGTTAGGTGCCCTAGAACGCCGCTTTTGGAACCACGGCGCTTCTGAGTCTTAGAAGTGAGTCTTAGGAGATGTCGGCCCTTGAGTCTGAGCGCTGTCTCACTGCCACTCCCAAGCTGGTGCTTGGCCTCGAACACAGAAGTCAAAGAGCAGTGAGGATCCCAGGCTCTGGCATGCGACTGCTGGGCTTCACACCGCTCTGGCAGCACAGGGTGTGGGCTCCTCTGCAGATTCCTGTCTGCTGGGCCTTGGCTTTGACGGCTGTTCGATGCCAGGAGTGACGGTGGTTGGAAGGGCTAAATGAGGTCTGCTCGTGGATGGCTGATCTTGGCGCCTAGTACAGGCTCAGGAGGGAAAAGCTGGCTGTTTTCACTTTGTTAATAGTGGTTGCATCGCTTGCAGTGTTGCTCTGGGTGAGCCCGTTCTCCTCACTCAGCCTCAGTTTCCCCGTCCCACAGAACACCCCTCCCCATGTTGGCGCTGAAGCACCACCGGTCCCGGGCGGGAATCATGGGTCTTCCTGTCTTCTGTCACTTGGACCCGAGTGGTTGCTTTTGTACAGTGACTAATGAAGTGATGAATTGTTCTTTATGTTATGGTGACCAAGACTGTTGAGCTGGAGCCGCCCCTGGCTGTGAGACCCTGAGCTCAGGGTCTCAGCAGGAACCTAGTCCAGCCAGAATAGCACCAGGCCCGGAGGCTCACACCATACCTATACTTACAGATTTTTCCTGTTTCAGGGCTCATGTATAGTCATTTGAATTTCATAATAATCCTGCCTGGGAGACACAACAAAAATGGTGTCTCCATTGTCTTCGTTACTTTTCTCAGACAAAATAGCAGACGCCCACAGGTTAAGGAAGAAAGGTTTATTTTGGCTCACAATTTGTAGCAGTTTCAGTCCATAATTGGCTGGTTCTAAGGCAGGGTGGCATAACACAGGGCCATCACAGAGGAGAAACAGTTCATGGCATGGCAAGCAGAAGGCAGCAAGCAGCAGCAGCAAAGGAAGCCTCCTTTCTCCTTTTATCTCAGCCAGGATATAAGCCTTTTGGGTGGTATCACCCATACCCCGCGGGGGGGCCTTCCCACTGTTCATTCCCAGAGCTCTGTGAAAGCCAACCAGTGGGGTAGTTTAGTATCAAACACCCTCAATCCCGTATCATACAGTCAGCTCCAAAAAGCCCCACCTGTGCGTAGCTTTGGGGGATATCTCCATACAATCCATAACACCCATTTTATAGATAAGGAGGATCAGGGAAATTGAGACCTGCCCAGGGTACATAGATACCAGTTGTGGAAATGAGGTTTCAAGCCAGGCATGGTGGAGTACTCCTGTAATCCCAGCACTTAGGAGGCTGAGGCAGAAGGATCTTCATGAGTTTGAGACCAGCCAAGGCCAATGTGAACTACATACTGAGACAAGAAAAAAGAAATGAGGCTTCAGCCCAGGCCTCTGGACTTGTCTTCTGGAAGCTTTGGGTTGACTAACTCTACGTCTCCCTGTCCCACAGACTTGGAGCTGATATCTGTGCTGTCCTTCGGCTCTCCGGTCCACTCAAGGAGCAGTATGCTCAGGTATGTGGTAGCTCCAAGTCATCTGTGGGTGGGAGGAGCCAGAGCCCAGGCTCCGGTGCTGTGGCTGCTGCTTGCCTCCCTGGCCTGCTCCCTGAGACCCCTGCTGCACTGTGGTGTCCAGAGAGGGCTGTGCACTCAAGTTGACGGCTCTGAGGCCACATGATGAGCAGGGATGCAGAAGTCACCGGCCTAAAATGCGATGCTTCATGTCACCCCACCCTCACCTCCAAGAGGGCCTGATGCAGCCCCCAGATTCTTCCCTTAGAAACGTTTTCAAGGCTGGAGGTGGAACCCAGAGCATTTTCACTGAGCTACATCCTACCCTTTACTTCGAACAAGGTCTTGCTAAGTCACTAAGTTGGGCAGGCTGGACTTAACTTGCGATCTTTCTGCCTCAGCCTCCCAGAGTGCTGGAATCACAGATGTGTGCCACTGTACCTGGCTTCCTCTTAGAAACCTGGTCACATGAGCTGGGCTTGGTGGTGTACACTGGTGATCCCAGCACTCTGGGAAGCTGAGGCAGTCTGGGCAATTAGTGACTCAGTGAAACCCTGTTTCAAAATGGAGAAAATTAAAAAGGGCTGAGAAAAAGAAAAAAAGACAGCCATGTGGGTTGTCAAGATAGGTTAAGTGACAAACACAAGGAATAGAACAGTGTGTAGGTCTTAGTGCATGTTGTGTAGCTGTGACAAGTAGCAGGGGCTGGCCATTTGCTTGGAAAATGAGTGCACTCAGCTCTCAGTTGTAGAGACCCAGCAGCATGGTTCACGCATCTGTGGGGTCTGGTGAGAGCCTCATGGAGGAAGGACCGGTGGCAGACAGGTCACATGTCCGAGAGTTGAGGGGTGCGAAGCTCTCTTGGGGACAACCCAGTCCTGTCCACGTCCAGGTCTCTAGAGCTCACCCCAGCAGAAGAGCTCAGCCCTGTCACCGCCCCATTGGGAGCAGGACAGACCCGGGGCCCCACAGCCTCTGGAGGAGGGCCTGGCAGGCCGGAAGTCCAGGACACTGCCCCCACCCAAATAGTTAAAGCCTAAGCCCCGGGTGACTTGTTGCTGCTCCTTTCGCCCAGCACCCTGGGAGGCATAACTCACACGTTCCCAAGGGTCAGCAGGTGGGAACCATGAGTCAACACCTGAGGGAGAAGGTCCCCCCAGCCAGTTAGGGAGCCGGAAGTGAAACCGAGGGTGTTTTTCAGGCCCCTTTTCTCTCTCGGGGCCTCTGGGTGGAGCTAGTTGGTGCTGGGCAGGGTCCTAGCAGCAGGTGCCAGGCTGGGGCGCAGTCTGGAAGTAGCTCAGTGACAGAGGTGCTTTTCAGCAGAGTGCCAGAAACTGGGGTGTGCAGGAGGGTGAGTGGCAAAGTGGAAGATGGTCTCCCCGGATTTGGGATGGAGGCAGATATTGCTAGAAGGGGAACAGAGGATGCAGAGTGCAGTTTTGTTTTGTTGTTCAAATTTCCCTCTAAGTTGAAGGCTAAGCCTGCACCCAAGGGATGCAAACTATTTTGGGATTCGTTTAAGCCAGAAGTAATCGGGAAGGTAAAACGTGCAGGAGAAAACTGCAGCACACATTTCAGAATTTCGTGGAAACCCTTTCTGGGCTGTGCCGAGACTCCGTCCCTCTCTGCGCGCCCCATCCTGATGTCGGCGGGCTGTGCTTCGTGCAGGAGCACGGCCTGAGCTTCCAGCGGCTCCTGGACGCCAGCAGTTACAAGGAGACCCATCGGCGCGACATGATCCGCTGGGGCGAGGAGAAGCGCCAGGCGGACGTGGGCTGCTTCTGCAGGAAGGTGGTGGAGGGCATCTCCCAGCCGGTGTGGGTAAGGAGCCCCACGGGGACCCCAGCCGCCCAGCCCCGTGTGGGGCCATCGGTGTCACGGCCACAGCCAAGTCCAGCGCTTCCTGGAGGTCGCAGACCCCGGTCTCCGCCCCTCACTCTGGCTCTTGCTCTTTGTGACCCAGTCACTCATTGCCCGGCAGCCAGAGTGACTTGTTCACAGCACACGCCAGGACACGGCGCCGTTGTGTTGGGACACTTCGGTGCTCAGGAACAGTCTTTAACGTCGTGCCCGGCCCACGGTGGGACCCCGAGGCAGCGTGCCACGGGGCACTGCTGTGTCGCTGAGCAGGTCTTCGGGTCTCGTTCCGCTGGACTCAGGGCCTTGCTCTCCCACCTGCCTGCACTGCCCTCGCCTCCCCATCCAGCCGCTCTTACCTGAGTCCTCACTGCTGCGCCCGACGGCCACTGCCTCTGCGACTACCCTTTTCCTTCCTCGTGCGTTCTTTCTTGTTTTGTTTTTGGTACCAGGAATTGAACTCGGGTCACTTGTGAGGCAGGTGGCGGAACCACTGAGCTAAATCCCCATCCCTCTTTTTTTTTTTTTTAAAGCAAAACCTTTATTGGTATATTTTATGTTTTTAGTACCGCAAATCAAACTTGGGACCATGTGCTTGCGAGGCAGGCGACAGAACTACTGAGCTAAATCTCTGGCCCTTTTGGTACATTTTATTTTAGTACCAGGGATTGAACTCTGGTCCTTGCGCTTGCGAGGCAGGCAGCGGAACCACTGTACCAAATCCCTGGCACTTTGGTACATTTTAGATATGCATAACAGCTGGGTGTGGGGTCACATGCCTGTAATCCCAGCACTCAGGAGGCTGAGGCAGGAGGATTGCTATGAGTGGAGACCAACCTGGACTACGTAGTGAGTTTCAGGGCAGTCTGAACTACATAGTGAGACCCTGTGTCAAAAAAAAAAAAACCAAGAGTGTCCTGTATACATAATGGTAGCACTCATCTGGGAAATCTGCACCTGTCCATGATATAGCCTGGATTTCTCATGCATTCTGCAGCAGTGCCAGTCTGCTTCTGCCAGGCGTGGTGCCAGGGCCCGGGGAAACATTGGTGCAGAATGCCACGAAATCGTCACCTAGGAGCTTACGTTAGACAGGGGCATGGGGCCATGACACACAAGAAACAGAGTTTGCCAGGTGGAGGTGGACATGAGGACTAAATAAAGCAAGCCTGGGTTGTGAGGAGGGCTGCTAGGCCGGGGTATCTTTTTTTTTTTGGTACTGGGGATCGAACTTGGGACCTTGCACTTGACTTGCAAGTGGTGGAACAACTGAGCTAAATCTCCGGCCCCAACCAGGGTATCTTAATAAGGGTGTTAGGGTGGCCTGTTAACACGGGGACCTGCTCTCCTGGAGGAAATGGGATATCTTAATAGGTGTTAGGGTGGCCTGTTAACATGGGGACCTGCTCCCCTGGAGGAAATGGGTACGGGAAAGTCGCTCTCTGGGAGGTGGGCTGGGAACTGCCAGCAGCCCGGAGTGGAGTCCCTGATGCATTTGAGGGAGAGCCACGGCCAGGGTACTGACCTGTGGGAAGTGACGGTCAGATCCTACCTGGCCTTGGAAGAGTTTGGGTTTTACTTGGAATGACCAAGAGTCACTGGGGCGGTTTTGATTTTTTTTTTTAAATTTTTGAGACAGGGTAGTTGTTCAGGCTGGACTTGAACTTACTGTGTAGTCCAAATTGGCCTGAAATTGATGGGGATCCTCCTGCCTCAGCTTCCTAAGCAAGCAGTGGGATTAGAGGAGTACACCCAAACGCTGGGCTGGCTCTGGCTTCTGTAGCCCTCTTCCCCTCACCTATAGCACCCTATCCTGTTGGTTACCTGTCCATATCCCTCCCTGCAGCTGGTGAGTGACACACGGCGGGTGTCGGATGTGCAGTGGTTCCAGGAGGCCTATGGTGCTGTGACGCGGACAGTCCGCGTAGTGGCCTCAGAGCAGAGCCGACGGCAGCGGGGCTGGGTGTTCACGCCAGGTGAGGGCCTTGTCCCTGCCATCCCTGCATGCTCATGGTCTCCGGTTTGCTTCCTGGCAGGCCTGGGGGAGGTAAATGAAGGCCGTGTGGGGAGTCGGCCGGGCTAGGGGTGCCAGGCCCCCAGACTAGGGAGCGGGGCTGGCGGAGGGTGTTTGGAGGGTGGGAGTCCCCTGCCCAGGCTTCCTCCAAGGGCAGCGGCTTCCCCTGGGCTGTCCAGCCTGGCACCTGGTTCACCCGGGGGCTGGGCCCGATCCTCCGCGTCCTTTCTGCAGGGGTGGACGACGCCGAGTCAGAGTGTGGCCTGGACCACCTGGGAGGCTTCGACTGGGTCATCGAGAACCATGGTGACGAGCAGCAGCTGCAGGAGCAGCTGGGGAAGCTGCTGGGCTTCATCTACTCCAGGCTCTGAGAGTCAGGCAGGAGCAGGGCTCTGGGCTGGGCCCGGCCAGCAGGGGTCCGGACCCTCACGGACAAGGGGGAGGGACAGACCTGGAGGGCCCGGGCCGTGTCAGCAGGTCAGGAGGCCTGCAGGAGCCGTCTGCTCGCACAGGGCTCCTGCATCCTCAGGACTGACAGGGCCGAGTGGTGATGTGCTGTGCTCAAGGCGGGACTGCGCCACCGTGGGGAGCTCGCCTTTGCCGGCCTCGCCTTCTGTCTGGATGCTCCCTGTGTGCTCACTAATAAACCTCCTTGGTGTGTGTGCCCAGGGCTGGATGTCTCTCATTTCCCCAGCGCCACCCCAGCCGGGCGGCTCGGAGGGGCCAGTGTCATGGCGGCTGTGCGTCTCTGTGCACAGGTGTCCCTCAGAGCGGACCTGTGCCCCAGGCCTGTCGGGTGGGGCTGGGGTCTGAGGCTGCGCTCTGGGGCCGCCCCGGGAGTGCGGAAGTGAGCTCGTGTGCACTTAGCAGATGCCAAGAGCTCAGAACTGAAATGGCCCGCCCAGGGTCAGGTCACCGAGTCAGTGCTCAGAACGAGGCCTCCTGTTGCCTGGCTGGCCCCTCTGCCACCTCGCAGGCGTGGCACAAAGTCCCAAGGTCCTTGCCACCTCCAGGTCAGGCCTAAGCTCCCCGCCTCTCTGGGCCCGGTGTCATTTCCTTCCTCAAATCCTTCAGTTCTCGCAGGGAAGGCGACAGTTGAGGAAAGAAATTTCAGCCTGGTCCAAACTAAACTCGGCACATTCTTGCCCAAATCTGCTCCTTCCTTGTGGCCACCGTCCTTGCTGGGTACAAGGCCCTGAGGACACAGAGGTGAGCAGGACACAGGTCGTTGCTCAGAGGGCTCGGTCTAGGGAGAAACGGCACCACGGGTGCCCTAGACCAGGGGCTGAGGGAGGGCGGCTGGGACTTCCTGGTGCACAGACGGACCGTGCCGGCCCTCGGCACCCATGCCTGGAGTTGGGGGCGATGCTGTGAACCGTGCGGCATGGACAGGAGCCAGAGCTGGGGCTGTGTCCTCCTGGGTGGGAGGTGACGCCTTCCTATCACACCGGGAGGAATTCAAGGACTTCTGCAGTGCTGTCTCTGTGACGCTCACCATGTCCATTCCTGGGTGCTGGGCTCAGGCCAGTGCGGCTTTGTAACACCGACATTGTCTTAGGATTTTTATTGTTCCATTTCTTTTGTTCGTTTGTTTGTTTTTTGAGACAGAATCTCACTACATAGTTGAGACTGACCTGGACCTCACTAGCCCAGGCTGGTCTCAAACTCACAGCGATCCTCCTGCCTCAGCCTCCTGAGTGCTGGGATTACAGACATGCGCCACCATGCCTGGCTTATTGTTCCATTTCTAAGCAGCTTTAAGTTATGATTATCTTATAATTGCACACATTTAAAATGTACAATTGTGGCTGGGGATTTAGCTCAGTGGGCCTCATGGGTCCCTCTGGGAAGTGATGCTCAGCTGGGGGCTGATCTCTGTCTGCCTCTCTCTCTGTCTCAGGCCCACCTCTGTGACTGGCCTCCCTATAACTTCTCTATGTGGCCTGCTGTAGATTTCTTTTTTTTTTTTTCAGCTTTAATTGAGTTTATTGGTACATTTTAGGGATACAGTACAGTTACATTCATTGTTGGGATCTTGTACCTCTACATGACAAGTCTTGGTTCTCATTTTTCCCCTT